GTGTTCAAAACAGAGAAAGATATCCCTCTTGGGGCATGGATGGAAGAATATAACACAGTTCTCTAAGCTGAGGAGGGAAAAAATGGGAATATAAACATTTCTGCATCCACAATGACTATCTTTCCCATTCTGTAGGTAGATGTTGACATTGTCTAAAGACTGTCTGTAAAGAAAAATATATCCTTTTCCACTGTGTCCAGTGAATAGCATTGCTGCATTTTTTCCACTCTTTGTCCCTCCATTTCTGTGCCTCTCCTTACACTTCCAAAGACATATAAATGAACAAACAGAACAAAAACAAACCTTGTTTCCATTTCCTGGAGTTCATTTTAATAAAAATTATTTTGTATGATGAGATCTACACAGGCATTCTGGCTTTGTGTTCATCTCCTAAGAATCAGTCTCCTCCTTTGGTTTCACTGTGTAAATGCCTAGAGACCTGTTGATGGTGGGCGAGAGAAAGTGAGGGAAGGGGTGACACTGTCCAACTAGAAATGAGTATATGTCTAGGATAAGCTTATCAGATGAGCAGTAAAGCTCAAAAGCTATGTACACATGTGACCATATAAGATGATGCTAAGCTGGGAAGGGGAAAAAAGAAGGAGGCAACAATGCTTGATAAGTAATGTACTCATTACCTTGCCCATGTAATTTTAATTCCTCTGTAAGGTATTCTCACAATAAAAAAAAAAGATGATGTTAAGCAAAATGAATCCCAAGATATGGACACAATAGGTCTTTCTTTGTTGTTATTTTTAATGTACTATGTGATCTTTTTTGTTTCTTTTATATGTTTTTCTCCCTATGTATATCCCCTGTTATCACTGTATGTGAGTTTGGTACCCTGTATCTTGTATATACATTTATCTAATTTGGGGAGGGGAAGGAGAATAACAAAATAATGAAACAAGGTCACAGATGACACATTGCAACAATGATACTCACAAGACACTATGTTGGAAATGAACTTTACAACTTGAGGGGTGGGGGAGGAGTTGGGAGGATGGAGGAGGGGAGGGATAGTAGGAGAAAAACAAAGGAGGGGATAACAAGGTTCAAAAAATGTTCTCATTACCTTATCATGTAACTGTAACCCCTCTGTACAGCATCTTTACAATAAAATTACATTTAAAAAGAAATGTCCAAAGAGTTATTACCTAACTTACATAACTGTAATCCCTCCGTACATCATCAATATAATATATATATATATATATATATATATATATATATATACAAAGAGAAACAACTGATCCACACAAAAAAGGAAATGTATCTTTGTGTCTTTCGCCCATTCAGAAAAATTAAGGTTTATATTTGGCAAGTGAGCCTCAATTTAGAAAAATTTTGCACACATGATATAGAAGTCACCCTTTTCTGAGCCTTTGAGAGTGATTATGGTGGTTCCCTCATGTTAAACATGGGAAATATAAAAAAAAAAAAAAGATGGGAAATTTACCCACATTCATCCTAGCAGGAAAAAGAAATAGTTCAGAGAGAAAACTTTAAAAATCTTCCTTTCCTATTGAATTCTTGATGGATCAATAACTCTGAAAGCTTATGTGAAAGTCTGCACATCTCACAAAGGATGTTTGAGAGAGAAAGTTAAGAGAGTTAAAATATCCAGAAAGTGAATAAATGTAGTCAAGATGCTGAAAGGAAAATAATTGAAGGATTCAAATAGATTGAATTATGTCTGAGAAACAACCATAGTTTAGAAGAAAAAACAACTGTGTTGATTGAAATAACCAGAAGCTATATGCAGAACAAGAAGATGATTTTTTGGGGTGGGGGGTGGTCCGGTCGTGGGGCCTGAACTCTGGGCCTGGGCACTGTCCCTCAACTCTTCAGCTCAAGGCTAGCACTCTACCATTTGAGCCACAGCACCACTTCCAGCTTTTTTTTTTTTTTCTGCTTAGGTGGTGCAGAGGAATGGCACCCAGGGCCTCAAGCATGCAAGGCGGGCGCTCTACCACTGAGCCACCTTCCCAGCCCAAGAAGATGATTTTTTTTAAGTGACATAGTAAGATTTTATTTTTGGAAGATAGTTCATAAATGGGTACTTCTCAAAGAAGAGAATTGCAGTTATTTTTGTAAGATTAGAATCAGTAATCATTTTATCTGGACTCAGGCAAGTCATTTTTCCTAGTAATTTACCTCCAAAGTAGAACAAAATAGTGTTTTACAAGTACTTCAAAATAATGGTACTTTGTCTATGTCAGTACCAATTGACATACTGGATACATTTATTTTAAATTAAATTTTCTTATTTCAAACTATTAATATAGGAATATTTTGTCTTTCATGGTCAAATGTTATGTAATACAAATGTGATTTCAGGCACTATCCAGCTTTTGGGAAGATGTAACAGATATTTTTTTAAAAAATCATTTTGACATAACTTTACAAGACTAATCAAGTAATTTCCTAAGAACAAAATGTTTCTTCAATTCCTTCTTTTCTTTCTTCCTTCTTTCTTTCTTACCTTTCTTCTTTCCTACTTTGAGTGCTTAGAACTTTTGTTTGAAATACTTGTATAGTTTCTCACACTTTCTATTTACATTTTTAAACTCATTTTTATTTTACTTTTATGGTTCCAGTTCTCAGATTCCCCCATTTAAGGCCATTGAATTGCTTTGCCAAATTAATTCAGATCTTCTCTTGTTTAGAATAGATGCTTTTTTCTTCATAGTGAAAACTCTTGTAAAAGCTGGTAAGTCTGTGTCAAGTCTGAGTGTTTTCATGACGGGCCAAACTCATGTTTAAGTTGAATGTAATTTTTTTAACACACTCTGATAAGCATAACATTTAGGACTAAGGATATCTATATTACCTATAATTCCTGTAATATTGTGTGTTTTGTGTTCTAAACGATATATAGCTAGTGATAATCAGTACAAGTATTTTGAATTAGATTGTATATGTAGTGAACTCCTTTTCCAAGAGAGTTTTTGTTACAGTGACCTCTGGAAATGGCAAACTTCAAAACTGTTTTTGTATGATGTGGAGTCTAGTTTGCCTAAATATGCACAATATTGTAAAATGTGAAAATATTCCCCATGGACTTGTCTCCAAAGCTATTATTTTCTCTGCTCTACCCATGGTGGGAAACAAATATATATTCAGGAAATAAATTGTACTGTTCTGAAGTCATTGAGTGTTTTCTGACTATCTTATTGCCGCATTCAGCAGTGGAAGATAAGTGGTTAAAAATCCAGCTGAGATGATTATTTTTTTTTTCCTGGCTGGGAAATGCACTAACCAACTACACATTATCTATAGAATGAAAATGCACATACTACATTGGAGTCCTGGCAGCACTGTTAAGACTAACTCATATTTTCAACTAGGATCGACCATTCAAGACATAGTTACATTGAGATAATAAGGCAAAAATTTTAAATATAACACTATGTTTATGGAAAATGCTTTTAAGATTGCTGAAAAGCTTTCAATTCTCTGACTAGTGATTAAATCTGCCAAGGAGAAACAGTCTTCAGTGTGTTGTCTACAGTTGTTTAGTGTCTTAGTTTTTAAAAAAAAATCAAAAAAAAAAGAAAGTAAGAAAAAAAGAATGCCTATCTCAGGTTTCACGAGAACAAGACAACTAGATTTGTTCCAGATTCTAAAACTTACTCTGTGTGTGCGTGTGTGTGTGTGCGTGTGTGTGTGCACGCGTGTGCGTCTAAATGCTTCTTATTCATATATTCCTGGGGAACATTACGTAATTATTGTTATGCAAAAAGAAATAAACTGAGCAAAACAAAAATAGATAAAAATCCCTCCTCTGCTCCCAAGGAAAGGAAGTACATCAATAAACAGCCGCAATGCAAATGTAGGGTGGGCTTTTTTTTTTTTTTTCCTGAAAAATTCCCTCCATTCGTGACTCTTTTTTTCCTACTTTTTGCCTCTTCCCTTCTCCGGGCTGGAGAACCAGGGTTGTCTGCAAGAAAGACTCCTCCACTGGAGGCAACCCCGCGATCAGGTCTCTCTCTCTCTCTCTCTCTCTTTGCAAAATAACAGCCTGTGATCTTCTAGTTAGCGCAGTTAATAACTGGTTAAGCGACATGTTCCCCCAAACGGCTGTTGCTCGGGCCCCTTCCCAAAGCCATCTCTGCCGCCCCATCCCATTTCTTTCCTTGCCCCCACACCCCCGCCCGCCCACCGTGCCTCAACTTCCTCCTGAAAATCGGTCTCGCCCAGCCCGGCACAACCTGTATGGAGTCCTCCTAGCGCCCCACGGAGCCCGCCAGGATGCGCTCGCTGGGGGCCAGACGCACATGTGGGAGAGGTCCCTGTGTGTGCACCGTGCCTGGACAGCAGGGCTGGGGTGTGTGAGGGGGGGTGTGGGGGGAGGGAAGGGGGGGTCCTAGCATCCCCTCTCGCCCTCCTCCCCACCCCACCCCCCGCCGCGGTGGGGGCGGGGACCTCCCTCCGGGAAGGCGGCCAGCCTGAGCGCCCCGCAGGTGCAGAGGCGCCCGGCGCGCAGAGAGTTAAAAGGCCCCACCGCAGCCATCGCTGGGAAAAGTTGCGGTGGCGCGTGGCGAGTCCAGGCGGCGCAGTCCCCGCGCCGCCCTCTGGCCCACTCCCCACTCGCCGAG